AGCTTTGATAGTTCCATGTAGCTACTTGTACATAGGGAGTATATAATTTACAATATAGTTCAAACATGTTATATATCTCTATTAGACTTATGGGCTGTTTGTTTCAGCCTCTTAATGGTTCAGATGTCTGAATGGTTCAGCACTTAATGGTTCAAACTGTTTGTTTCAGCCTCTTAATGGTTCAGATGTCTGAATGGTTAAGAGATTTGCCTCTGAATGATTAAGTATTATACAGAGTCTGAATGGTTAAGACCTCTTATCTGAATTGATCAGACATTTGCCTCTGAATAGTTAAGCAATATACTAGCTCTTAATGGTTCAGACCTCTTACTGGTTCAGCACTTAATGGTTTAGACCTCTTACTGGTTCAGCACTTACCGATTCAGAAGTTGCCAAACAGCCCATTACTCTATATAGTAACACGTGACATTTAGTGGGTGTTTTCTCTATGTTTATAAGTTGACTTTTTTTTTGATGGCTGTTTATAAGTTGACTTATATAAGCTGCTTATAAGCCAAAAAAATAAGTAGGTTTTACGTGCTTATTTTTAAGCCTTTTTTTGTTTCTTTGTTTTGACTTGATTATTTACAAAACTATCACTCACCATTTATGAATACTCACAAATGACTCATCAATCATTTAAATTATTTTACTTTCATGCAGGAATATTTAACCTATAAGCAGCTTATAAGTTAAAAATTATTTATCAGCAATATGTAAATAACTCTCATTTATTTTTAAGAGTCTCCTTCTTTTGACAAAGGGTGTTGTCATAATTTGACAACACTCCAATTGGAACAGTTATGTACGGTGCTCCGTTAGTTCGTAAAATTGATAATTTCTACCTCGTCTAACCCCAATAAACCCTTCCACCGCGGCCTGATCCGACTCGAACCCATCCGCTCAACCCCTTCAATTTCATTTCCCAAATTTAATCACTTTGGGGTCAAAAAGATTTTACCAACCATCAATTTTACAATGGTTTACCGGGGAGTTAGGGGTAAGATCCATCAATTTTACGAACGGAACAACGTATATGCCCAATTGGAGTTTGTCATATTATGACATTATAATTTGTTGTCAAAAGAAGAGTAGTGTATTTTTAATCAATTTAGCTTTCATCTGGTCATTAAAAAGTTGTAACTTCTTATATAATTAAACAAACAATTAATTGTGCAGAAATATAATTACTCACATTCAGTTTTAGGTTTGGATGGCATGGGCCATTAAAGTGTGTTGGACTAAGCAAATACGTTCTCATACGAGGGATTATTAGGATGCCCCCTCTTGATTTGCAAAATTTGCTCCAAGCCCTTTTAAATGCCTGAAATATGATTCAGAGTTATATTTTTGCAAGTACTATTAATTCTATTACAACATACGGAGTAATATATTTTTTATACAAATTGAACTGAAGCACAAAGAGTCAATACCTTGATTAGAGGACTAAAAATTACACGCGGCTTTATGAAAAATGTGACAAAATTTGGCAAAGAAGAGGACTAAAAATCCAATTTAGACTAAATAAGAAATGCAACATTACCTTAAAAATATGCATCATTATCATTTCTAACTATTACGACCATTCTTACTAGAAACCTGCCTTGGGCGTGGAACGTACATATCAAATGACGGTACGATTTAAGATTAGAGCTAGATATATGAGGCCGCCTTGGTGATTTTTCACTCTTAGATCTTGATCTAATTAAGAGTGTAGCCGTGTAAGATACACACAAACATACGTACCTTAGAATCATCTGTGTTCCCATCACCTTTCGCGCCAAAATGATCCACATTGAACACTTTTTGAGGCTTTCTGGACGATATCGGGTCGGGATTGTGGCCACTATGGTGTTGCTTGTGGCGGTGGTGGTGTCGATGACAATGGTGATGACGATTGTGGCTCAAAATCTCAGTACTCAGGTGATTGTTGTTATTGCTTGAAACAGAAATTAAACAAATGGCTAAGATTATGATGGCTAATAGGTCTTTTATCATAAGCATTTTAAGTAGAAGATGTACTATACAACATACATATAGCTAATTAAACAAATTGTGATTGTGAAAGGTTTTGTCTATGGGGCTTTGCTTGAGGAAATTTATAGTGAGAAAATGATAGAAGTTAATTGAATGGCTTGAAGTGAGAAAAGACGAAATGACCAAATTCTAGAGAGAAGATGAAAAAACAAAATGCCTTCGTGTTTGAGTAACAGTGCTAGAGTCACAAACATTTTGGTCACAAAATACACAAATTTACTATTTATGTATTTAAATGTCTACTTTTTAATTATTCATCATTATTTTATTCACTTGGTGAGGTGCACAAATGGAAAGTTTGTGTATTTTGTGACCGGAATTTTTGTGACTTTAGCATTTCTCTACTCTATATGAGATTTGTCTCCAATTTCATTTTTATTCACTCTCAATAAATGTAATGAAACGGTGATTTTTTTAAGGGAGGTTTGGGATATAAGATCATTGGAGAAATAGATAAAAAAAAATAAAACAAACCCAGAAAATGGACATAATAAGAATAATAATAATAATAATAATAATAATAATAATGATAATGATAATAATAATAATAATAACAACAAAAATAAGAATAATAATAGGATGGGAAAAACTTATAATTAATAAGTACTCTGTAATTTTTTTGGTCTCTCTCAACGACTAAATTAAGGAAAAAATATTACCATCCTAAAAGAATTTGTGACATGCGTTTCATTTGTTAGTTTACCTACAAAGATGCATGTAATATTGTATGACCAAACAATAATGCTTCAGACAAAGATAGAAAGCAATGACTGTGCTTCTCAATATGATGAGTTAGTATTGGATATTTGCAATGTGGTATATCTCAATATGAAAAAGTAATGGGAAAATTCAACTTCAGTCCATATAAAATTGACATAATTTGTTTTAGTCCATGTAAAAAATATTTTGCTCAAGTCATTCTTACAAAATTTATTACTTTAAAACTAGTCCTTAAATTTAATTAAGACTTTTAATATTTTGAGATAACATATTTATTTTGTACTCAAACATCCTACTCTTGCCTTTATAATTATCGCAAACATAGTTCTCATGCCCTAATAAATCACAATTTCAACAAATTATATCACAAATTCCCAAACTTTATTATATTACTCTATTCCTAAAGTTTTGGGAATTGGAGATGTAATATGAATAAAAACGCAATTTAGAGCGTGAAATTGTATCATAAGTAATTAGACATGTGAGACTACGATATTGAGTATGCAATAAATGTGTTATTTCAAAATATAAAAATTTATAAGGATGACTTAAACAAAAAAATATCGCGACCAACAATCAAAGTCGTTGATTTTACAGGAAATAATTAAAAACAAATTGAACCCCTAAAATGCATTATAACTAGACCCCACCCCCCGCTGATTTAAACCTGAAAAAATTGAAATGTGGTCAAACTAAAAAAAACTAAAATTCATTTAGATAAATTGCGAAAAGTATTTTGGGCAAAAAACTAAAGAAAATTAGAAATTACTCCAAGAACTATATTCTATAATAAAAATTATATTCGTCGGATAGGTCTCGAAGATCGCACAACTGGCGTAATTTGTGACGTAAAATGTCCACCAAAATTCTTTGCATTTATTATTAAAGGGTGCTCGAAAACTTTGGTTTGCATGTGTTTTTTATTAGTCATTTGATAAAATAAAATATTTTTGTTACCACTAATTTTGTCAAACTTTTGATGTATTCTTTAAATATATAAGTTTTACATTTTATTTTTACACCTATTTCTAAATAAAATTATTTTTAAAAATATGAGATATTGCATGTAAAAATTAAATAAGAAGAGTTTTGGTGATCGGAGAGATTGGAAAAGGAAAACAATAACCAAAAGAGAGAGAGGGCATTGGTGATTGATAACGGAGCTATTCACCTAATATTTTAAGGAATGACGTAGTAATATCAGAATCATGAATGACAATGGATTATATTTATCAAACAAAGAGTTATTAGTAGGGGTGAGTGTCGTCCGTGATATTACTAGAACGTATCACTGACTGCTCTTATTTAAACGGTTCGGTAACCCTAAAACCATTCGGTACGGCGGTACCATTCCATTTTGAAACGGAACGGTGCAATGTCATACCCATGCTCAACCGTGCAAAAAAAAAGAACATGCATCACTCAAAAAATTTTAAAGTAAAAACATAATTTTGTATACAAAAGCAAAACTTTATTAAATAGAAGTATTGATTTTGAATTTAAAAGGATTATAAACATAATGAATAAAAGATAACGCGTTCAAATTTTAAAAATAGATTTTTTTTTTCAATTCACACAATATTAGACGATTACTCCCTCAATCGTCTACTTTTGTCTTTTTGGTCAAAATTGGTAAATTTTGACCAAAATTAAATAAATATGGTATTTGATATTGATACAAAAATAATTTCATTAGAATTATTATATAAAATATTTTCAAAATATTATTTTATCTAATTAATATACAATATATATTTTATTTAATTATAAGTCAAAGATTAAAAATAATTGACTTAATAAAGTTAAAACTAGACAAATACTCAGAGACAGAGATAGTAATTACTCTAAAAATAATGGTAATCGTAGTAATAAATATAATATCAACAATATTAATGAAAGAATTTTAAAAATGAATAATACCATACAAAGTACTCTATATACGGTAGGATGAAGCAGACAAATCATTATTTGAGATACTCCGTATATAGCTTTCAACAGTTCGGTCCGTGATAATCTGTTTTAAATATTTGTATCATGGTCCTATCCCGTTTGATATCGGTTCGGTGTTGGTTTGTGATAAAAAAATCAATCCCGTTTAAAAATACGAGTACAATAAACGGTTCGATACTATTACGACTCGATATGGTACCATGCTAGTTTGATTTTTTGATCCACCCCTAGTTATTAGCACAATAAACTCCTTTTATACAGTATAATTGTTCATATCCGCCAGGCTAAGCGCAGGTAGACCTGGCCCAAAGTAGCCAAGCGCCCGATCCGAATCGAGAGAGTTAGGGTTTGGCAGTCAGCTCGAAAAGAGAAAAAATGGCTTCATTTGGATCTATCAGACAGGCCATATATGATAGAGAAACCAGAAAACAGTATGTCTCACACCTTCGCCTTCTATATATTCTTTTTTTCCCATAGATTTATGCTTGCGCTGATGTGCAGTACTATATTTGCGTGGATGGCTTCAATGCTCTCTGTGCAGGCAATACCAAGCTCACATACAAGGTCTCAATGCTTATGATCGCCACAAGAAGTTCGTCAGTGATTATGGTCAGCTTTCATGGTTTCCTCTCTCAAATTATCTGCGGCAATTTCACTTTGAATTACAGTTTCTTTGGCGCTTTAATCGACTTTGTTGATGCATTCTTGAATGACAGCCAGGAGCAATGGTTGTTTGCTAGAGTTGTTTTGGACTTAAGAGAAATTTTGAAAATAAGACTCATCTGTTTTGATTTTTTGGGATGTAAATGTGGTGTCTTATTTTTCTTTTTGTGGTGAGTTATTGGACACCATATACACAAACAAATAGCTATACTCTGTATTTGTTTGATCTCGGTGTCCTACAACATTTGGGCGATTCTTAGTCCCCTTCTTTCACCTTCTTCACCATGTGAAGGAAGGCTACGATAACCCTACACTTTCTTTTACTGAAATGCCTGAAAATGACCTCTGAAATGTCTTTCATCCACAAATTTATTTCGTTGTTTATGAAATGCATATCCCCAATAAGACAATTTTGTAGTTCAAATTATCTGCTGCAATTTCACTTTGAATTTCAGTTCTTTTAGCATCTCAATCGATTTTGTTGATATTCTTGCATGGGAGCCATGAGAAATTGTTGCTTGGCAGCATTCTTTTGGACCTAAGAAAATTTTTGGAACTAAGACTCCTCTGTTTTGATTTTTGGAATGTAAACAGGGAGTCTTATGCTCTTATTCTTCTCTGTGGTGAGTAATTGGACACCTTGTACCCAAATAAATAGTCGTACTCTGTGTTTGTTTGATCTCGGTGTCCTATAACATTTGGGCGATTCTTAGTCCCCTTCTTTCACCTTCTTCACCATGTGAGGGTAGGCTACGATAGCCCTACACTTTCTTCTTTTAAAATGTCTAGAGATGACCACTGAAAGGTCGTTCTTCCCTAAATTTCCTTCATTCTTCATGAAATTCATATTGGCAATTTGACATAAGTTATGAGTCTGTATTCTCTTTATAAGTTATACCTATTTTCAAGTATTTGTTAGTTGTTGCCTTTAGGTTTTCAGTAAAGGGTATTCATATTTAGTACTCTGTAAAAGTATAATGACTGGACTCAAGGGTTGCATGCAAGTATTGAGGTTTGTATTTGTTAAATCCTGGTTTCCTACATCATATGAATAATGAACAGCTTTCCTCTTCGGAGTCAAAAGGGAAGCTACAATTATTCGTACATATGCTTAATCACATGCTTGCATTTTCTGCACCATAATAAGCACATGTTAATTTTCTGGCTATATGAGGAGCCGTGCTATTTAAGTTTCTCAAGAGGATTGGTCATTCTCTTAGACAATCTTTTGATTGTTTGCAGCTGCCTTTTATGGAAAGGACAGATCAACACAAGAAGTTTTGCCTGTTAAAACTGATGAAGACACACTTAGAGAAGGGTACCGGTACGCTCAAATTCTTCCTATTTCAGTAGAAAGATTAAAATCATTTTAGGTGGAACTCATAACTAAAGGCCCTAGTCCTCTAAATTATTTAAGTTTGTATAGAAATAATTGTGGTATGGGAAAATTCTTTTGGCCATCTATCTTAAAACAATTTTGTTTTAGCCTCAAACCTCTTTGTCTAGCTTGGGTTATTTCTTTGATATATTTTGAACTCTATCCCTCTCTTCTAAGGTTTATACGAACAGAGGAGGATGATATGGATCCTTCTTGGGAACAAAGGCTTGTGAAGCGCTACTATGACAAACTTTTTAAGGAGTATCCTTTTGGAAATCTGTTTTAACAAAGTCCACACTAGTATACCAAACGATATTATGTCACATGTGGGGGCCTCTCTATCTGCGTTTACGGATGAGTATGATATAGTGATCTCATAGTATGCATTTATTTATTCATGATGCTACAAAACATCTTTTTTTTGTTTTTCTTCTTCATCCCATGTACTCCATCCCTCTCGAATTAATCATCTCACTTCACTATTCATAGCTCAAATTCTATTCTTTCTTTACTTATTTTTGTTAATCATTTCTTAGAATAATATAGTCATGAGTCATGTCACCTCTTCTTTTATATAGAATTTGATTTAGTTTGCTAATATATAAATTTTATTGTGAAATTGTACCATTATTTAAATAAATTGGATTGAAAATAAAGTTACTCAAGCTTGTTATCGCAATGAGATGATTAATTCAGGACTAAGGGAGTATAACATTTGGTGATGAGTATCGTTTTGCTACTTTTTATAGCTATCTCTGATTTATTGTTCACCGTACTCGTTGCATATTTAGTATGTAATTCCTTAATTCTTCAGAGGTATTGCATAGCCGATATGACACATTACAAAAGTGGAAAGGTACGTCCTTTCAAAGATTTGGGAACTTAAATTTTGGAATACTTTTTTTCACCCTGTCCCTGTTGCAACTTAGTTTAAACTTTATTAAAAACTGTGCTCAAACAAAGTAGGCAAGTTAGTTTGGAACAAAGGATTATAATGACAGCCCATCTGTCCCAAGAAAAGCTGTTTCAAAGTCTTTTTTCTGTGTCTTGAAAAGAGTCCTCGGTCAAAGGAAACTAAATTTTAATGCTGACTTGCCACCTACAAACATGGTAAATATGACAAATTTACTTAAACCAATATATATAGTTTAAAAATATAACTTTTGTACCTTGTCAAAATGTAAAAAGGAGTTGTACCTCGACCAAACATGACTTCTTTGGGGAGTATGGAGGCGCTAGTAGTTTGATCAATGTGCAAATTGACCTAAATTATTGTCCTTAGCACTTTAGTTTTTCTTAAATAATTACTTTGGCTTGCTTGGTGATGTACAACACTTACTCTTTGTTTTCAATTATTTTAGATTGGTCTAAGATGGAGGACTGAAAAGGAAGTAATATCTGGGAAAGGTAACATTCATCATCTCTTGGTTTATCATTATTATTATTATTTTTAAATTATCAAATGATTTGTAGGCAAGTCTCACTTACATTCATGGATATCGAAATATTAGTTTATGTTTGATTAGATGCTACCGATGTACCATTCATGTTTTTCTAATTTGTGATGCATTTGAATAACTAATAATTTAATGTGAATATAATGGTTCACGCTTGACTTGCTTCAACATGTATTAAACTTCCTTAAGTTGATTGACTTGATTGCGCACCTAGCTGGATGCCTATTTAATTGTTTCTAGTATGGATCGGTGTGTTGAATCTGCTCATTACCCACTCATTTTCCCGTTGAACTGTTGGCTTGTACATAATCGTACTACTAGGGTAATAATCATGGGTTACCACTTTTCATTGTTCCTTTTTATCTATGCATTTAAGAAATCATGCACATTATTTTATTTTAATTCTCCAAGTTATTCATACTTTTCAATTAACCCTTATCCCAAAGGAATATCAACAATAGTGCTGCTCAACAAGGTCACCTTAGTGTCTAGACAAGTATTGAATTGTTTGATGAATTTATAATCCCAAATATTTCCTTAAACCACGTGATTTGGTCAACCTAGGTTGATAAATAAGAACAAAAAGAGATGAGTGTTTTGGAAAATTTAGATATTGAGCATTTTCTTGTTGCTTATTTTAAGCGGCTTTTACACTTTTTGTGGTTGGTAAATGAAATTAAATGTTTTTTTAATCAGATTAAACGTCATAAACCAAATGCAACTTATGCAAGTATCCATCCGTTTTTTGCTTCTATATGTCAATTGTCAAAAGCAATAAATTACTCATACATATGCTTATTTCTTCCCCCCATAATGTTTCTAAAACACTCCCTATTTCATTGCCTTAATGGAAAAAAAACTTCTTTAAATGTGTTTAGATGATTCAATCCATTCAGCTCATTCAAATTAGCACATCCAAGCATTTTTTTCACTCCATCCAAAACATCCCCTACCTCAGTAATGGGCTCTAAATCCTTTAAAACATCTTGATTTCTTGTCCCCTACAATGCAAACTACATCTAAAATGATTATACCCTCTCAGCTTACTGCTTTATGATTCAATGGCTTTTCCCCATCTTTATCTTTTGGTTGGTTCTGAATTACAATGGCTTGAGAACTGAATGCTCCTTAGCAATTGTAGTGTTCTTCATGATTTAGTCAAAGGCTTCAAGTAAGTTTTCATGGTTTCAGGACAGTTCATATGTGGTAATAAGTATTGCAACCAAAAAGATGGTCTAGCTAGCTATGAGGCAAGTCTATGCATGTAATAAGCGAAACAATATAGAATATTCCATTGCTCATGGTTGGTCAAAAGTTTTATGCTCTCATTTTTTCCAAGTTTATTTAGCCTAACCTTTTATATGATAGATTACCTCATCATTTTTTTAGGTGAACTTCTCATATGTTGAAGCTGGAGAAACCAAACAGGCCCTCGTAAAGCTGGTGGCTTGTGAGAGGTAATTCCCTCATCATGGCAACATGGGGTTTTTAGGATGAGATTTTTGGGGTTTTTTGGAAGATAGAAAATACAAGAGAAAGAAAATAGGGAGGAAAATGAAAATGAAATAAAATTTGTAGGAAAACAAAATATAGATTCAAACTCAAGTACTCGCAATTTACTTTTGACATTTTTTAATTAATTGTATCTACTTAATTCATTTTACTGCAGATTAAAAAATTTAAATTTATGTTTTACATGATTTAATATAATTATTATATTTCATTTTCCTTTCCATTTTCTAGGGTAGTTCCAAATATTAAAAAATAACTTTCCTTGTTATTGTGTTTCTGCCAACCTATTCCTGTAATTTGAACAAACCACTATTGAACCAGAATAGTGCTTAAATTGTCCTTGTCTTTTCCATGTTATAGATTCAATGTGGCTATTGCTAACCAAATAGTTGTTTTATTACTTTTAAACCCTCAAGTTTGACTCAGCTACATGAAAGTTTATGTTACACTTACTCGTATTATCCAAATAACTACTCCATAGGCCGCAATAAGACTTTTCATTTGGTTGGGGAGGGCACAAATGATGTCACACTTGTGGGTAATAGTTGAACTTTTCATATCTAATTTAAGCTAACCTTGTTTTGTATTTACTTCATTTTTTTGAAGATGTGCTGAGAGGCTTCTATATAAGAAACAGAAAGAGAAGGAACAAATGAAAGAACAGGAAAGGAAAAGGTACTAAGTTTTCATCCCCATTCACACCATCAATGGTATGTATCTATGGCAAATATTCCCATGTGGAACTAAGACTTTGAGTGCTTCCAGGGAAAGATCTGAAAACGATGACCAGGATGACGAGCATGAGAGAAAGAAAGAACGGAAAAAAGGTTTTAATCGTTAAACACTTCTTTGTCGTTCACTTATATTATTATGGAGTGAATTTTCTGAACAGTCCTTCATAACAGGGAGGGGGGTCCAAAATAGTCCTCTATATTTGAGAACTATTATATTATGGGTTCATGTCTGTGTGTGTCGTTGTGGTGTCAAATGCGGGGTTTCCCTAGCAAAGTTCACATACTTTTTTGTTTGACTGATAATTACAAGTACTTTTTTAGGATCTAAACCTTCATCGTCATCAGGCAAGGACCATAGTAAAACCGACAAGAATGATGAGAACTTTGAGGAGTATCTGGAGGGAATGTTCCTTTGAAACCAAATTGGCTGCTGAGTGTTACTCCTAAAGGTCTTTTATGCACAACCAAATTGGAAATAGTTTCTAAGCTTCTACTTCACTCAAACATAATTCTAAGGCTCGGAATAACTGCTTTTGCTTGTAAATTGTGTTGTAGAAGTGTTTTTCAGAAAAGCTCGGAGAAACGGCTTTCTGGTTTTGATTTAGCGTGTCTGCTTTGTCAAGAACTCACTGCACTCTCAAACACTAAGGCTCGGTTTGGTATTAGTGATATACATCACAAGTATTAATTTTTGTGATACATGTTTACTAAAGTCATTCATTTTTTGTTGTATCATAAACTATATTAATTCATTTTAACTATTTTATGATGAATTTAAAATAGTTGTATAAAAGGAGCATTGTATAACTATTACATGCACATATGAAGAAAATAAAATAATACTCCCTCCGTCCCAATTTAAATTGCTTGTTTTGACTTTTGGGCATATTTAAGGAAAATAAAAAATGGGCTGATTTTCTGAAATTGACATTACTTTTTAGGAGGGGTGATGATAAATGAGAAGATAAGGTGAAGAAGTGTGACTTATTTTAGGGGTAGTTTAGGTATTTTATTTTTAAAAGTTTACGAAAACAACTAACAGGTAACTTATTTTGGGACGGAGAAAAAAGGCAAACAGGTAATTTAAAATGGGACGGAGGGAGTACTAAATTTGGAGTTATAATATAGAAACTCTCAAATACTTGCAAATGTTACTCTGTACTTTGTATGTTTCATCCAAATTTAGGGGTTCGACATACAAAAAATTGGAAAGAGTTAGAAGAAACTGTAGTGGAAATGATATTAATAAAAAACATGAAATTTAAAGAATATATAGAGTATTTTGTAATATTTATTTCAACTATAATTATTATAAATGGAAAACGCAACTAGCTAGCTACCTAAGTGTACATAACTCTTCAAATACATGTCGCTTTAAATTTATATTACAATTCATTGTATTTTTTTTGTTAGTTGTAGTTAGGGTTGCAAATGGATGATCGATAAGCCAATCATCTTTTGCATTCATATTAGTTTAAATGGAAAAAATTCGCATCTGTTTTAAACAAATATTATTCGAATTCGATTACTAAACGGATGCGAATTTGGTAATTGCATATTTGATATGTTTAAAATTTGATTTCGATATATATATCTATTTTAATAATCGTTATCCGAATATTCACTTATCCGAATACTGAATTAAAACTATTTTAATAAATAGTACTCGGTATATAATCTTAATATCTACCCAATCCATTATATTAGTCTAGATATTCAATATAATCTTAATATCTACCCAGCCCATTATATTAGCCTACATATTCAATACTATAGAGTATAACCTTATCTCTAACCTTAACCATTAGTCCATTACTCCATTTATCCTCTATCCATGGATGAGGAGATGATGAGGAAAGGAATGAGCAAGTAAACAGGTTCTATGTCTAAGAAGGTGAAGAAAGATCATTTGGCAAAGGCAGTTACAAGTTTTGCGAATTCATTCTACAGAGTATGTTCAAAACAAGATCAATACGACATCGAAGGCGAGCGAGAAAGAAGTCCATGACGTTTCAAAAGTGGATGACATATTTCTTCATCAAGTTTTAAGGACAGTTAAGAAATTTATGAATATGCGAGATGAGTTTCAAATGCTCAAGGATTTGTCTGAAGACGAGAAGCTGGATTGGATTTTATTGTGCTTGGAAGAGTGATCGAGTTATAAATAATTACAAAATATTTAATATATACTTCATGTATTAGTATGTATTTTGTTTATGAAATAATTGGTCATTATGTTATTTGAGATTATGTTAACAATATTTTGTCCATTAATCATTTGAAATGAAATTCTACTACTTGCCAAACAATGCTAGAATTGAAATTATAAATTTCCCAAGTATCATTTGGATTTGAAATTATGAAATATGAATTCTTATATAAGCCAAACACCAAAACCAAATTTGAATTAAAGAATTTCAAATTATAGAATTGAAATTTAAAAATTGAAATTAATTTCCTTATCCAAACACTACCTTAAAGACGTCTCAGTAATACTTTGTATTTTTTTTGGAGCATGCTACATGCACCCCAAAATTTGTACCCCATTTGTACACCAAATGTATGCAACAACATTTTGATGGTTTACACTGACACAAAGTGTTGGTGCATTAATAAAAATTAGTATTACACATTTACACCAACACAAAATGTTGGTCCATTCCTATAGTGTACAAAATAAGATATAAAGTCTTAAGGTACAAATAACATTATCCAACCTTCTGGTAGATTAGGGCCCGCCTAAACAGTTTAGGAGAGCCCAGCCCGGGAAACAATAAATGCGGTAAAAGGACTAAAAGGTATCGGGTTAGGGTTTGTTCATAACTTCATAGTATTCTGTGTCCACTGGATCCGCCCTTTCCATTTCTTCAACGCTGCCACCTTCATATTCAATGGCTAAACTGGTATCCTTTACAAGTCTCTGTTGCCAGAAAACGGTGACGCAGGGGCAATCGCCGGAGACAGCGTGGCAGCCGGCACAAATCGGCGTGCGGCGCGGTGGAAGTTGAATGACGTCTTCCTGAACTCCAATGACCATACTTCCGGTGGTCCGTGGTACCGGACGGTTGAGCGGGTGGATTGGCGGATGAGATTTTCTGAAATCTACGAGAACAAGTTGGAAATATTTGGCCGGCGGTAGGTTCCACAAATTGATAGCTTTTTTCTTTTGCCTCAAAAACTTCACAAAATCGCATTGACCAATCCACCTGCTTGACCGCCGGTACCCAAACCGGGAGCATGGTAGTTGGAGTTTGGCTTTTTCCACGTCGTTGTAGCCGAAACTTTGCCCTGAGCCTGGTACTTGTAGTGGTAGTGATGGATCACACTGAGCACATATTCACTGCGTCCAGAAACACCGCCGATTTGTGCACCTTACGTCCGTATAATCAGCTGTTGAATTTGAAGCTTGGTAAGTAGAGGAATTTCCAAACGCGGAACAATATGTTCTATTCCATTTTCTCACTACGTATGTGTCCACATTTGCAATTTCCTCTACATACCCTTAGCTTATTTTGTTTCATTGATTTTTGAGATAAAAATGGTATCTTTTTTTCATGTATTCATCTGTTTGTATGCATCCCTATGATGAAACATTTAGTAATCTGAACTGGTGGCGCTCCCTCTCGTCCTGTTGCGGGAGGTGGAGGAACCCGTGGCGGCTTCTTGCCAGGTTGATATCAGGCATTGCTGAGGGATGAGGATTTAACTATTTTAAATGTTTTATAGATTTGTTTTTTTCTCTCTTAAACATGTTTTATGTTTTTTTTGTTTCTTAAACATGAACATCCTTGTAACATTCAACAATGTCCTTTGCTGTCCTCACTAGCAAGAGTGAGGGGAACACATTTTTACATTTAAAAATGGTTGGAGTTGATTAAGACCATGATTATGTTCTTTCTTTCTTGTAATGGATGATGTTAGTAGCTAATGGCTATTTAATTACTTTTACGGTTTTACCTTATGCTTTGAGAGTCTTAAGGCAATAAATTGAATAAGATTCTTGAATTTTCACAACTTCTGTCTATGGGAGAGCATGAAATTATGAATTAGAGACTCCTTTCTCTTGCACACATTTAATAGGGTGTTTTGAGCCTAGCCTTGGGAGGACACCAACGCAGATAAAGAAGACAGATTCAAAAAAGAGGTAACACCTCTTCTTTTTTCTACCAGTGTTTTTTTTAATTTATTGGATTTTCAGAAATTGGAGATTCATAGGTGGTTTTAGAAAGTCAGTTTGGTGTACTTTTTTTCAGATTTCGTTCTAATGTGAGTGGGTCTACCTTAACTTTTGTTTGAGTTTCTTAACATAGTTGTAGTTTGGGAATTGGTTTTGAAATTGAAATGGTAGAAAAGCACGGGAGGCGGGGGAACTGCCAATGGGAATCTGTTGGTGTGCCGCGGCGGTGCATCAGCAAGCCGGAACAGAGGAGGCACCTGCTTAGCCACAACCTGACAGACACAATATCTTGCTAAAAAAGGCACATATAAATACTTCATAATATACTTGTGATTTGTCTCTACTTTCTTTTGTTCAATTATATCAATGTTGGCAATGAACTTTGCTCAAGATGCTGTTGTTTCTTCCTCTCAAGCACATAAGTCTTTAGTGGTTCACAAAGCTTCAAATGTGGTTGATAAATAAGGTATATCAACTTCTCGCGTCCCCCTCCTCCATTTTAGCCGTTGCACTGGCTTTTTTTTTTAATTATTTTTTCAGTTCATGTTTTAATCGAGTACTTGTTTTTCTCCATCTATCAGTCTTTTTTTTCATTTTTTGCATTATATCAATGTAATTTTTAATTTAATGAATTATTTTTTAGAGCTTTTATTTTAAGTTAATTTTGATTTAAATAAAGCAAAAAATGTTAGCGTGATGGGCGTGACCCACACCCCTATCCAGTTATAAGCTGTGATGGAAAATAGAAATGTTGATGTGATGTTTTGTGGCAGGGAGTGATCCACATCGACCAATCTAGAGTCAAGTTTTTTACTAATATTTTCCCGAAAATAACTAAATTTATAGCTAAAGGGACATAGTCACTTCTAAAATAAGAATGTACAATAACTAAGCAAATCCCATGTAAGATTGGTTCAGGATCATGGAATCCTTTTCTATCAGATAGGAAGGGTTGTAGTAGAAAATGTACTTATACGTGAGTGCCCTATAGACTTTCACTATTTATTTCCAATCTCCTTGCATTTACGCAAATCTCAATCTCTCAATCAACTCTTCCTCTCCTTGTCTCTTTCCTCCCCTAGATCTAATCTTCGCCACCCAACTTCAAGTGAAGCCGATGCCCTCGTCCGAAGTTATTTTTTGGTTGTCGCTGTCAGTCAGATTTGTCTTCTGATCACCGTTGCCCTTGTCCAGATTTGTTCTCTAACGGTCATTGCCCTTACCCAAATTTGTTACTTGATCGTCGCCACCACGCAATCCACGTCCTTTCACTGTCGTCCAGGTTGCGAGGGAGCAATAACCCGCGCTTGTCTTCGATTGTGTATGTAGCTTCCCGCATAGTGCTACCTTTCATAGCCCAAGCCGGAAAAAGCAAGGGCATCTTTGTTGCACCAAAACCACTTCTTCCTTTGAGATTGGTGGGCTGTTTTTGTTTCACATTTACATTGGGTTGTGTTTTCTAGATTTAGAGGGGGTATTTTTGGGAAGTCAAAACCATATTTCATCTCCCTTAAAAATGAAATCTATTCAAATCAAGAAGATCATTTTATGACAGAAGTATGTTAGAAGTGCATTTTGGGGCATATTTTTGTTTGATCACTCAAACATGAGATTTTTCATTATCCTTCCGTCCTAATTAAAATCAAACATGTTTTGGTTTACAATATTTAACTGAAGTTATTTTCAACACAATTTATCTAAGAATTGAAGAGGAATTCATAAATGAAATTTACATAATAAAAAATTACATAAAAAATTCTACGAAATAAAATATGGCATAACTATAGTGTTTTATCAAATGAGTAATGAAAATAGAGAGAAAGTAATTAAATTTGACCTTGTGAATAGAAAACACGTAACTTAAGCTAAAACAAGAGTATCAAAATTGCCAATCCGTATCATATATATATATATATATATATATATATATATATATATATATATATATATATATATATATATATATATATATATATATATATATAAAGTAGGGTTAATTGATTGTGGAGTTGGCACGTGTACAATGACTAGACTGATGACATCAATATATATATATATATATATATATATATAGTAGGGTTAATTGATTGTGGAGTTGGCACGTGTACAATGACTAGACTGATGACATCAATATATATATATATATATCTATATATATATAAAGTAGGGTTAATTGATTGTGGAGTTGGCACGTGTACAACTAGACTGATGACATCAAATGTATAGGCAATTTAGGGATCAGATCAGACGAGTCGCCTTCCTCCCTCAATTTTTTCGATCGACTATTCGATCAGCTATTCGCCGATCCTCTCTCCAATTTTTTCAATCAACTATGTGGGGGATCGGACGAGTCTCCTTCTTACCTTCCGCGCTTGGAATTCTTCCATGTCTTGCGTTACAGATTGCGTGGAGCTGAGACTTCATCAACGATCGGTATGCTATCTGATTAATGGATCAACAATCATATGACATAACTGATAATTATTGTTTGATGAGATACAAATTGCTATTCTAATACATCAATTTCCAATTGTTAATTGCTATTCTAATACGGAGTACATCAAATTCCCATTGTTAATGTCCAGATAAACTGACGATAGCAATTAACTCATCAACTTTAGCATATGTCCACAAATTGCCACAATCATTATCCAGTAGTCTTCTTCTACATCAGGTGTGTTCAAATGTTTTTTCCCATTTTTGAAATTACTTATCCCATGTTTTTGTATTTTTTTAATTGAATGTGGGAGTTGAAAGTGAACAGTAATTAGGAAGTTTTTGAATTTTTATTATTTATGTGTTATTTAGAAAAGTCCATTTTAATAGTTAAAGAACCACAAGTGGTCTCAAAGTCAATTGTTGGTTTCACTCCAGATGGTGGCTGTACACAGGAGGTATTCGAGCAAACTATATGATGATGATCCATGATGGAGCAAAACAAAAGTAACTTAAGGTGCTTGAATTTAATTCCCCATATTTTCTCCTAATTTATCATTGCCATTTCTCTCTATTGTTTCTGTCACCTATAATAAGATTTAATTTAATTAATAAGAAAGGTGTTTATTATACTAAATCTTCCTCTTTTGTATTCTTTGATGATGAGTGATGTGAATTAATGGAAGATTGGCTCATGCTAATGCTCTTCTACTTTTATTAGTGGTTTCCAAAACCAAGGTTAAATGCCCACTCTGTGTGAATGAATTCCTCATGTCATTAGTCATTTTTTCATCACCATGTTATAATGATTTCTCTCAGACCATTTTGGGAACAAAATATGCTTTTAATTCTTTCTTCAAACCATTGCTTCTTAAGTGTGAACAACAAATTACCATAAAATGTTATCCTCAAATTGCCTTCAGTTGATACGACATAACCACTTTGTTTTAATAAAATTCATTTGTATACTGACTGTAGTGTTTCTCAAATGGGTACACAAAAGCAGAAGATAATGTTTCGATATACATGCATAATTTTCACTATATATTCCCTGAACTTTTCAACTAAAGTGAATCTTGAAATGTCATCTGTTTACAACTTCATTTTGAAAAGAATGAAAATTTTTATTTTATAAAGATTCTTGGATACATCACTAATCACTATTCCTTGAATAGAATATTAACTATTGTTTTAAATTTGAATTTACAGTGTCTTTGTAGCTTCTTTGAATGTGGCTGGTGAATCTCCTTCAGGAAACTGGATTCTTGATGATTGACTTCATTTGTCACCTTTGTAGATATCCATTGTTTTTGGTATTTCACCTTATAACATCTTTTACCTTCATCTTTCCTTTATAAAAAATTGATATCCAAAATATTGTTCTTATATCCTTTGATGGTTCTACTAAATGCGGATAACATTTTGGGAACAGAAGACAACCTGAGTTTGTATAAGTAGGTATAATGTCTCTTGGCAGTTCAATATCAATGACATTTGGCTGGGAAAGTACTCATTTTCTCATTTACTCTTTTTCAAACCAATCATATGGTTTTACAATATATGAATACCGATCTTTATTAGTGTTGGGGTTTAGCTGTCAAATATCATTTGCATGTCTTCATGGAGTCAACATTTTTCGTTTACTATATATAATTACATATTGAACAGGTGAAAAAAGAAAGCTTGGTATTAGTTCTGTAAAAGTTTAGTTCTGTTTGGCTGTGCAACTTCTATTTGTAGTTTGATTTCGTTTCTATTTGCTTTGAAGAGTCTCAGGTTTTGCTAAATTATCAGTGGTGAAGTTGGAGAATGTATATACAACTGTTGTTTGCTACACCTTAGTACCAAAATCTATACTCAAATTTTGACCACGATGTCCTTTGTGGGAACTACACTTGAGTTTAATAAGTTTGAATATTGGTAAGGATGTTTTGTGGTTTGTTTGGCTATTGGATGACAGTTTTTGCCTTATTCATTATTTTGCATTGAGATAATTGGCATTGTCGTGCTGTAGTCGTTGGAACATGAGAGTTGGAGTTTGGTTATAATGTTGGATTTTTTTCTTTTCCCGTGTTCCTCTTTTAGTTCAAAGGGACTTCATTTTTATCTCTCTTGCTAATTCTTTTCCCTTCTTATGGATTCCTACACTCTTCTACATTTTTTTAATAAAATTGTTTTTTAAAAAATTAAACTATGACACTACTGAATATCTTAAATTTGGAGTTCTTTAAAAAATGAAAACTAACATACTTATAAAACGGATTATTTCTATTCGAACAACACATTACGCTCCTGAGTATTCATCTATTTTGTCCATCAAATATACATTTAAAAAACGCAAACACTCAGCATAAATCACGAGCCCGTGCGAAGCACGGGGTAGAAAACTAGTTTGGCTCATAATGTTAAGTGTCATCATTTGTTCAATCCAACAACATAAGCACTAAAGTATATAATGCCAAAAGACACTCAGATATCCTCTGAGGTGGGGTCTAAAGGGAAACACACATCCATAGACTTTTTATCTATATTCCAAGGAATGACATAAACAAAGGCAATACAGTAAAAGTGTAAAACATTATTTTTTTCTTTTCAATAAAAATTTTATAAGAATAATACAATCTGATAGCACACACTACACAGAACCATTATTCAATGTACTGGGTATTTATTTAGGGCAAGTATACAGAACCTTTATTAATAAATGTACCTTTCAAAGTTGTGCATAAGTAGCTTTACAGTAGCCATTTCTATATATAACTGAAACATACACACAAATATAGTCACCAAGTTGATGATTTGATCTCAAGTTTCTGCTTGGAGTTGAAGTTGTTCCTGTGCAGAATTTATAATAAAAAATTGAGACACCAAATTTATAAGAATTAAAAGCAAATTGTCACACACAACTACCACCACACATGTAGGATCTGTTTGGAACACAGAAAATACTAGAGAGAGGAAAGTGGTGAAGAGGGATTGAAACCTTGAGTCAAGATGCTAAATATAGAAATTACTCATTTTCTTAAAGTATTTCTATACATGACAATAAATGTAAAAAGATAAACTTTTTGAACTCTCCGTACCTTTTGCAAACTAAGGATGAATAGTGAGTTGTTTTACAATGAAGACTATACTGAACAGGCTTTAGAATGAACACTACAGTTGAAAATGAACATTCTGTTATTCAAAATGAACATTATGTTGGTTCAAAATGTATATTTTTGGGTGTACCTAGCTCTACGTACGGCCGGGTGTATGGTATTCGTTCTCATAAAAAAACATTTTCAGAAACCCAAACATACCCATGAAGCAGCAGTATTGTTTACAATTAAGAAAAATGTGGTACTACATAGTATATGCTTAGTACGTACACTGATACACTCCCCTCCCTCTATCCCAAAATAAGGTTCCACAATTGACCAGGCCCGGTAACTAAAAAAAGTAAACTGTAAAAGTGCGTGGTTGAGTTTTTGTACAAAGGAGAGAAATTGTGTTAACTACAAAATACTTTCCCCAGAACCTTTTTTGGAACAAAAAAATAAAATATGGAACGTCTTTATGAGATGAGGGGAGTGCTTATACATCTAGGTGTATCATAGTAATTGCACATGCAACATATACAAATGGACATTATTTTTTTATAAAAAGGGCAACCAACAACAACAAACTCAGCATATTCTCAATTTCGTTAGGGAGAAACCATCATGGTCAAATGAGCATTCCTTAGTAGGAAAATGTTCACGAAAAACACATAAGATAAAATGAAATGAACTTTCTTTATAGAGGAATACCCAAAAAATAAACATAAAAATACAATATAATCTGCTGTATAAGCACATATTGGATGCACATATTTTCAAATTTATTCATGGTTGGTTACTTATTGCTATTATGCATAAATAAACTTTGGTCATTCATTTATATTGTTTGGATACACTTGCGGTTTCATACTATCAAACTAAGCTGGTTTGAGCCTATTTTATAAAGCTTAACGAGAGCACTTAATCTGTTCCAATAGGGCCATTAGAGGTCAAAAATATCATTAGTAAACATGCAATTTATGCATATTAGTCAAAAGCACTTGACAATACTATGGTCATTTTAATTGGTAATAGAATATATACCTCGGTCACGAAGAAGGCATGGAATCCATAAGGAACTCGTTTGGGCAATTCAACAACAGCAACAGGATCAGATGACATTGTTTTGGCATCAATTACATTCACTGCTGATTTCCTGTAAAAATTATTCATCAATTTTAATCAGAACACAATTTATTAGTCTTGTTAGTCTAGTTAAAAGTAAAAAAAATGGTCAACAACTTTGGCTCCATTTGCTTCCAGTAAGATATAAATCCAGAAAAGGTTGTGGATGCTCTTGTGCTTGGCACTGAGAAAAAATTCTCCCTATTCTTTAAGGTAGTGTTTGGCAACTAAGATTTCATTTCAATTCATGTATTTCAATTCCAAAATTTGAAATCTTGAATTTCAAATGACAAGGGGAGGTGCTTGGATTTAAAATTAAGCTTTGTTATGAATGAGAAGAATTTGATTCAAATCCAAATTCAAAATTTGTAAGTTTCCAAACATGGAATTTGAGCCAAATCCGGATTTGAAATCCAAATCCATGTTCCCAAACATACCATAAATGTATTTTTAAAATGACTTCCTCTTTTGAAACAAATTTTTTATGTATTTGTTAAACCAACCATTTTTTCAGAAAAATAAATTCCACAACTTATCCTCAAATCAAATGGAGATCTAAAACATTCCCTTAGAAGCAGAAAAATAATGTAGAAAATGTTTTTCGATGAAAAGGAATTACGTAGTACTATATAATGCTTTACCAGAAAATAAATGGCTCTATGTATAATATAACGACCCACAAAAGTCAAAAGAATCACAGGGAAATTCTTCCCACTTGTGTCAAGTGCCAAATACAGGAAATTACGCAAACCATTTTACAGGAAATTAAGTGTTGGAGCCTAAGAAGATCATCAATGATTGTTTAGGCAGTATATAGGGTGAGGTGGGGTACCCGGTGGTCTCATCGTGTACAAAGAATATCAAGTAGCCATCATCCTCTTCGCATGTGGTACCTGGCTGACGAGGAACAAAAACAGCCTCAGAACCAAATTTGGATGGACCAAGGTCAAAAATGCCTTGGACATTCCCTCCCACTTCAAGCTGTGTTTTCATGGTCTCTGGTTCAGCATGCAGATCAAATTTGATGACCCCCTTGACCTTGGCAATGTTATTTAGTATGGTCCCATATACATATCGCTGTTTCCTGAATTCGCAACGCCACTACTAGTATCATGTTCAGGTATAATTCCAGGTAAAGTTTTAGATTAAAGGGTAACTAAACAAGAATTGTGGCATAGAAAATTCAGATACAACTTAAATCCATTCAAAAGAATGTTAGTATGTTAGTGGATCCAAACTGCAAATTTTTCCAATTTCTGTAACGTAGTATTTAAATTTGAATGCTTGAATGGGTAGTGGTTTTACATATTGTCCTTTCATACCTTTTACCTAAAACTTCAAGAGAACTAAATCTTGCACCTAGAATTCTTGTTATTATGCTGCAAGATCTCTACATACAGAGATTATGTTCCTCATGGTTTATTAAAATTTAAAGGTAGAATACACCTATAAAAGTTCTCACCTCCCAGTGTAATTCTCATTCACCCGTGGAAAATCAACAGAAGACGCGGACAGTTTCTTCTGTGAAGCTTGACAACTTTTCATGTTAAATCTCATCTCGTACCTGGCAAACATGAAATGAATCACCGCTCTCGGTAAATAGTCAACCAAAGTGAAAAATATGAGCAATGTCAATGGGATCTCAATCTCAAAACCTACAACTCATTTGCAAAATTCTCAAGATCTTTTTTGACGGGTCCATTGACCATATCGAGATCCAGATTTTCAAGACGGCATGTAATCAGAACAACTTCATCCCCTTCCTCCCATGCATTCGCTAGAATTAGTTCAGAAAAAGAAATGAGGGTCAGAGTTTAAGTACAAAATGAAGAAAATTTAAAGAATAATGATAGGAGGATCACGCTGACCATATTAGTTACACACTAACACCCTACATGAAATTGCCCCTTGCCTTCAAAAAACTACTTCTCCCACCGTCCAACTATTTTTGGATTGCAGTGGCACACAAATTTATGAAAAGTAGAATTATGTGTGTTTTTAAATTGGTAAAGTATGCATTGATTTGATCCCCATAAGTCATACCAAATATGGTATGGAAATTTGTTTTTTGAGGCAAACCAAAACTTTTAAAAAAAATAGTGGGACTAGAGAGTAACTGGTATTCTTTTGACCGAGGTAATTTGACCTTAGAATGACCCAGGGAACCTAGGGTGCTCCGTTGGTAAAATTGATGGTGACTATCCCTCGTAACCCCTCCCCCCGGCCTTGATTGCTGATTTGGGCTGCCCAAATCGGTGATCTAGGGGGGGGGGCTGGGGTGGGGTGCTGGGAGGGGGCAGGGGGTTTGGGGAGATTAGGAGGGGTAGGAACCATCAATTTTACCAACAGAGCACCGTAGGTTCCCCAAAATGCCTGGGTCATTCTTGGGTCATTTTTGGATCGGGTCAAAGGAACCTTGCCCTAAAAGTAATGATTTCAAAGGGTGAATGTAACCATGAAGTAAACCATGGTGGCCTTCTGGCACTTTTCATAATTAAAGGGCAGATAATCACTTCCAGAGATTTTACATGGTCACGATTAGAACAGAATCAAAATTGCAATTAAGTACAGGGATAAAAACTTCAATCTATTGCTGTTCTTTCTTGCTCATTTACAGTAAGATATAAAAAAAGAAACTTCAATTCTAGATTTAGTTGCAATTAGGAGAGTATGCGATAATCACTACACACTCCTTTCAAAGGTTTCTGAAGTTGACCTCTCCAAAGATTTGAATATCAAAAGCAAAGCTTATCTATCACACCAAAAGGAGTTATAGACAGTTAGACACCACGTGAAAAGGGAAAACTAAAATTGTGAGTAATTCTTATATGTTTCAGTGGCTAATAATTCTACCAGCTTGAACAGCATCTACTCACTGGACATATGATTTCTTTTTTAAAATATATTTTGTTGCTAGTGTGCTAAGCAATACACTGAATGTTTGCGATGTTGCACTGAACTTTTTCTAATACATGAAAAAGAAAACGTTTTTTTTTTTGGAATTTGGATTATCTATATAGACACTATGCAGCTCACAAGTCAATTATTTGTTGATGTTTTTAATGGTTTATCTTATCTGAAAAGAATGAACAAGTTTCAGATTATGCCTACTAATTGCTTCCATGTTGAAGGATGAGCAAGGGTCTCGCCATGTTGCTCTAGAGAAATAATAGTTATGATCTCTAGCCATATACGCTTTGACAAGCAAAGCATTAATATTCAGAAGCTCTAACTAGAACATTATAAAAACATCTACACAATCTTACAAGATAATTGCCTTACAGAATAACAACCTCTAAAATCCTGGATATAGTTGTATGTGGATAGCACAAAAAGTGGTAATAGAACTCACCATTGTGAAATATGAAGCAATTAGGAAGCTCAAACCATTTAATTAGCATTTCATTCTTCGCATAGCGTGGGAGGACTCCAAAGCGAGCTTTTTTTGTATTATCAAATTTGAATATGAACTCTTTGTTTTTAACCATTTCCTGAAAATTAAAAGTGAAGAATCTTAAAATGTACACTATCAAGATTAATTTGATCATTTGTTGTAGATTTCAAAATGGTGAATCAGTACATCATAATGGAAACTGGGAAGCAATAACACCAATGTTTCATAGCATTGTTAAAACAAGCAAAATATATAGTGACTCTATTGAGCACATGAATTGGATATTATGACTTCAAGAAGTGTGGTTAGCATGAAGTCAGCCATTTAAAAGAAATGTGAAGATGATAGAGTGAATAAGCTAAGCATATACATATTGTTGCAAGATGATAAAGACAATAGATGATTCAAATGGTAACGAAAATTGAATTCAGCTTTTGTTCTGTATCAACTTTTATACTATACTCCCTTCCAAAATGAAGTTTACACTTTGACTTCACATGTTTCTAGGTAAAATAATTCTTTGGTCTTGACTTTTCGAAAATTCCCTTCAATTAAAGTTGGCTAGTGAAGTGAAAATTTAAACTTTTTTGAGTAAACGATAAGGGTTTAGAGGTACTGTTATGGCTTTATCTAATCCTACCTTGATTATTATAGTGGACGTGGGAATATAATTTGGGGACATCCTAAAAAAGAAATAAAATAATCAGGGAATAGATGGAGTACAAATTCTAATCACATATAAACAGGGAACTTATTTTTTTCTCGTGTACACATTTTTTCACATGTGTTTTGACATCTTGCTGTATCTCACTACGGCAAGAGAGAAATATCCTTTTACATCAATAAGAAATGCTCATCTAATCAGTAATCAGATAATCATAATTGGCCAAGTTCAAATTGGATAAGCATCACACCTTTGGTCTGAAATATAGTGGGAGATCCATGAAAATTGCATAATTCTCAGTGATGGCAAAATCATGCATCATGACAGGTTCTGGTATTGTTATTGGAACTGGTTCATACATTTCACCACCCCTTGATACGACTCGGTATGTGATATAGGGTGGTGTAGTAGAATAGCCGAAGGTAAACATCTCTCCTGCATGGAAACATTATCAAGTCAAAATGAGCTTTATTCCAGAAATAAAAAAAGTTAAATCAAATGTTTATTTTACAATGTTGCATTGCTGCTATAGATTATTAATCAATTGGTGACGTTTTAACATTAAAAATTAGAGGGGAATATGAAGGAATTTAAAAGAGGTTCTTAGAAGATGATATTGAGTTTGTAGGTACTATGGTAGCACTTAATTGAGGTTCTTATAAGATTTAGTCAATTAATGCTGTTTATTGATATGTTGAAGTAAAGGTCATAGTATCATATAGCCAATTACTAATTCAATGGCCTTCTATTCTCAAGGCAAATTTACGGAAAATCACAAAGCTCTATTACCAGTTATTGGGTCAACCTTCGGATGAGCAGTGAAGGAATGTGTCAATCTCTCGTCATAATCCATCATGCCAAGAGTTTGTAAATCTCCATCCTCCAAAACTTTTACTACATCTGAGCAAAGTATCACGAAAACAAATTATGTTTTAGGGAGTACCATAAGCTAATGAAATTAATAAAACTAAAGAAAGAATATAGAAATTGAACCAGCCTCAAGAGAGATCTGCCATACATGGTTTATCTCCCTCTGAAAGTGCCAAAAGCTTCTTGTGGTGATAAACCAGTGCTGTATTGGCTGAAAGAAGACATTTATTTTAACTCAGTAATTCTTGAGTTGAGCAAGAAAATTGTAAAGGATATTCTATCAACTTGTGAAGTTATCTCGACACATGTTTTTGCCGTGACAAATAGAGAAGATCCATGTTCTGCCACTAGTAGTAAACCATGGTTTCACCTACCCGTGCCTGTTCCATAGGAAAGATCTAATACTTTCAGCTTTGCTCTTAGCATTTGCATGTAAACCATAAGAAGTCCAGACATCCCCTTAAGATCCCCAATCTGCAAATTGTGTAACAATATCAAAGATATATAATGCAGATACATGTGTACTACATTATTGATCATTTCCATGAGCATATTTCATAACATCACTTATTCAACCTAGATTCATATTGAACTTTAGGCATGCACTTTTAGAAAGAAAGACACTGAGTTCAGAATGCACCTTCATAAACTTAGCTCCTCCAAAATATTGTTCTTGCTTGAGACGTGATGTCTTCACAAAACGAGAGACATATGTTGCTTTTCCATCTTTAATGCGCAAACCATGAATCATTCTGCAAAAAAAAGACAGTAATTACAGACCATAATTCAGATTAATTCAATTTGCACTAAGAGAGAGAAGAGAAGAAATATAAACCAACACACCCATCTCCATCAAACCTGCAAACAAGAAATATGAGAAAAACTTCTTAGTCATTGACAAAAAAGTCTGAGCTTAACTACTCATAAAAATAAAAGTATTCACCATTGCTCAAATGTGTGTGTGTCAGTGTGTGTTTGTGTGTGTGTGAGAGAGAGAGAGAGGAATACAAAGAGAGGGGTCAAGTATGTTGTAACACTCTTTTAGGCAAAGACAATGAAACCATTGATTTGGAAAACTCCTATTGAAAAAATAGTTGACATAAAATGACTTATCAAAGGTACCCCGCCACCGGAGGAAGGTTTAGATTGGGACCAACTCTGACTTACTCAAATGTGTGTGTGTGTGTGTGTGTGTGTGAGGAATACAAAGAGAGGGGACAAGAATGTTGTAACACTCTTCTAGAGAAAGACAATGAAACCATGGATTTGGAAAACTCTTTTTGAAAAAATTGTTGACATAAATGACTTACCAATGGTACCCCGCCACCGGCGGAAGGCTTGGATTGGGACCAACTCTGACAAACTCACCATTCAGGCATTCCTGCAGAAGCAGAAAAATACGACATATTATTCATATTTTGGGAAGCACTGCACACCCTTTCTTAGAGCATCTGAGCTCATCATATGTCTCAGATTCTTCATATCATTCGACACTTTAATAACATATCACTGAGAAAAAATAGCTCCAACACTTGGAAAAGATTTGAATGCAGGAACTAGAGAAGAAGGTGACAAATCAGATTTTAATGTACATGCCCACTATATCAAGTACTGTTGTTCAAGAGTTCTCTTTGTACTAATTAGTAGAGACTAATTATGGATTGTGATTGGAACTGGTGAGATTCTTCACTTCAACAACAATATCCCAACATATCCCCTGTGTCATTTGAAACATCTTGTTAACATATACCACTCCTATCAATTATGGGGTGTACTCACTCCATCCCACAATGAAGTTTACACTTTTCTTTTTTCCGTCCCAAAAAAAATACTACTTTTCATGTACATTTCCTTTTAGGAAAGGGATATGCGTCGGCTCATAACATTTCTTTCTCTTAAACAAATTCTAATCACACACTTTTCATTTTTCAATTCTTTTCTTAAAAGTGTGAACTTCATTGCGGGACGAAGGGAGTATATATAGAGGATAGGTATTCTATTTTGATAGTAACATGTGTTAGCAAAACAGATTTGAGTTTCCTAACTTGTGGATAAAATCCAAAGAACAACCGCATGAGGGGCGTGTTATAGTATAAAAATATAGAATCTTACCTATGCCTTCAACAATCAGCTTTAAATTTTGATTTAGTTGGTTCCTTGACATTGTTCTCCTTCCCTACAAACTGAGTTGAGATTTTCCCTTAAAGTATATTTCCTCCGTCCCAGAATATTTCGAGTAAAGGTAAACAAACTTTAATCATCAATTTCATTAAATTTGTGTGTTACATATTAATACAATAAAATAAATTTTTGAAAGTTTTAAATGATTTTTGAACTAATTTAGATTACAATTTTTATTTAATTTATTAAAAATATTAGGGATAATAGGACATAAACATTATCATTAATTATCTTGTTTATTCTATTGTTCCTTATTGTATTGATACCATAATTGTTATTCTACTACATTTAGGATTCTCTCTTGTATTCTCTACATATAGGATTGATACTTCATTATTCAATAAGACCTAGTATTATCAAATTATATCATGGTATCGGAGCAAGGGTTATTCCCTCTCCAAAAAAAAATAGTGTGCGTGTTTATCAGTCGTCACCGATCTCAACGAGCATGTCTAACAGCCATCGACCTTTATCCCTCTATTTCTCCAGAAAACTATGAGCGTGTCTAACACGCGCCATCATTTTTCCCTCTCTCTTCCAACAAATAATGTGCAGGACCGAAGAACAAGAAAGTTGCATTTGTCTGTGTGTCTTAGAGATCGGGAGCATAGAAAGCGATAGAGAAGCAGAGAACGGCCACGGAGAGAAAAAAACTCATTGCCCACATTCCAATCGCCAACACTCTCTCAAAAAAACTCAGCAAACGTAGTTTAAGATTGCTTGTCATGCAACGAAGATCTACCTCTCTACTTCTAGCGGCAATCCTCACAAACCGTACCCGACCGGTCACTTTTCGGGTCTGGGTCGAGTATAAGTTATGCCCATCAGGAAATAAATATTATTATTAATTACCTTCTTCATTCTATTGTTTCCTTATTATATTGTTACCATAATTGTTAGAAAAATTTGCACTAAATAGGACTAAAACATAGTGATGGTGGACATTTACTTTAACAATGATTAATGAATAATGACTAATGGTTTTACATTCAGAAATAAAAACATATGATCTTATATTCAGAAAGTCATTATGTTTTAGTCTGGTAAATTCCTCTAATTGTTATTCTACTATATTAGATTCTTTCTTATAATCCATGGAGTATATGAAAGACAGTGAATTCATTGAACTCACGGGGAGATGGCCGATGACGGGAAGGTCCTTGCAAGGGGGAGTTTCATCGGGGGCTGGAGCGAAATTGCCGGAGAGATAGTGAAGGGGTATGGAGGAATCGTGCACCATCTTCACGATCATCCATTCCAGCCAATCTATAGCCTTGGCGATGATGCCACTTTGCGGCTTTGGGCTCACCACCACCATCCCTCCCGCCTTCCTCTCCACTCCATCTTCTTCCTTCTTCCTCCCCATCTCTCCCTTTCTCTCTCTGCAAATCCAAATAGTGATAGGATTGATTCCGGTGGATAAGCTCTGTTTATACCTTCAGTCTCTATTGTATGATTTGTATCTAATTGGTTTGGATGCTGTCTGTCCTCTTAAGGACCACAACATTTTAGTTAGTAACTACTAACTAATGCTTATGCTCTATTCTTTTTTTTAGTTTGAAAAATACTGGGTAAATTTTAAACTTTTCATTCTGATACCGCAAAAGGGAGAGTCACAACCTAAAAGCTAGCTGTTAAGGTGGGAGAACTCTTAGCTATATAAACCAATCACCAAGTCCCTCATTTAACCGATGTGGGACAATGAAATCAGTCCGTATCATTGAAGATATGGAGGCTCAATTGAAGACGATGGAGGGCTGATTCGCAGGGGTTGACGAAAGGATCAATGCTCAGGATCTAAAGCTGGATCAGATCATGTTGATCCTGAAGAAACTGGAATCAGATCAAAAGCTGGCAAGGGAAAGGAAGGTGCCTCTGCGTCGAGGGTGATGGAAGCTAATCAAATGTTAGACACCTCAATTTCTACCCTAAATTGGAGTAAGGGTTGATGGAAGCAATACATGAAACTAGATCAAAAAGGCAACTAAGTATTTCACGTTGTGTAAAATTCATGGAGATCAGTGGTGACCTGGTGAAAACAGCCGTGACCAACGTGGTCGTGACCAACGAAGACGTTGGGCCTTATGGGGGTTGAATGATACGGACTGATTTCATTGTCCCACACCGGTTAAATGGAGGACTTGGTGATGGGTTTATATAGCCAAGGGTTCTCCCACCTTAACAGTTAGCTTTTATGGTGTGGCTCTCCCTTGTGCTCTATCACATTCTAACTCCTTCCAGTTTTTTTAATAATTACTTAAAAATTTTATTTTTGTATGATGAACAAGGCGCTTGGTCGCAAGTTATTTTATTCATGACGGGAATTCCCCTATTTCATGACCCTAGGTGACCGATATCAAAGTAGTGTCATGAGGGAAGGGTAAAAAGAACTATCAAGGAATCAACTAACACGCTCTCTCACATTAGCTTTTTAAACTAAGTGATAGTGAGAAGAGCAAGACTCTAATACAATGTCAAGAAATCAATTCAATCAAAAACTTAATTTTATGGTCATAGGCTTATGAAAGATATTATACTCTGACATTGACTTAATAGGCTCTAAAAAGGAGTGAAATAGAAGATGCAACCGTAGGAAGTAGTGAGAGAAGTATTATCTCTGACCGCGTTCTTGTTGAAGAATGAGTCGATGACTCATATGTAGCGGCGTACTTAAGGGAACCCACTAGAGCCGTAATGAAAGTGAATCTTCATAGGGCAATTGTCATTGCTTATGGACTCGCTAGAACCTGTGTGATATATCCATGACCAACATGAAGCTTGGAAGAACCTTAGTGGAGGTTTAAACTCACTCATGTTAAAGAATGATGAGTCGTGGTTAGGGATGAAATACCAATGACAATCAAACTACTTTGCATATCACTACTAACCCCGTCTTGAACATATCAATTATATTGAAATTGACTATTATTTCGTCAAATATGAAAACCAAAGAGGAATGAGTGCAACAGGCACATATTTATTGTTGATCAACTACTTGACATATTGACAAAGACATGAACTTCTACACTATTTGCTCAATTGTTGTTTAAGTAGGACACACGTAATTTGCACGTTCTAAATTGAGAGAAGGTATTACGTGTAGATGAATTTAGAAGGAATGTATATTCTCTTATTATTATTACTAATTTACATGATTGGTTATTTTTTATGGAATTTCTTGTTATGATAGAAATAGACTTTATGACAATAATAGAAATTTTCAAATTTTTTAAGAATTTTAATTTTATTATTTTGTCTCCCTATATAAAGAAGTGATAGTCTTTGAGAACCGCTAGAATCATTGAATATAGAAAACACTTTTCCTACTATTTTTTATCAGTAAATAAATAGGAAAATGAGATATAATTAACTATAAAAAGGAGATAAATTCAAATAATGCTTTCAATGCACTTTAAGTACTTAAAGTTTATAGATTATTAGATTTGTTCACATAATCAAATTTATTAGAAATATGAATTGGATAAACGTTGAACATAATATTATATTTCCACTGTTCCATATAATTTTCAAAGATGAAAAACAATATGCCTTAAAAATGAATAATTTTGATACTCCGTATTATATAAGAATTATGACTCGTCTATCCTACATTCAGACCTATTATATACATATCTTATTACTCCGTATAAAGTAATAGCAAGATTAAAAAAATATAGAAAAATTATCCAAAATAATCTCAACTTTACCTAGTCTTTCAAAATTAATCTCACATTTTACTGTGATGCATAATAATATCAATTTTACTAAAATTTGCGAGTTTTGAGTCGCCGTTAAATTTCTAACGATGGGTTAACGGAAATACCTGTTTTGTGCAATAAAATGAAAGTTGAGATTATTTTTTATGAATTTTTATTTTTATTTTTTTTGAAATTTTCATATAAATTTTAAAATTACTTTCTACCTCCATTTTTTTCTTTTCTTAAAGATTATTCTTACCTTAGAAAAAATAAAAAAATAGATATAAAAAATAATGAAAATGAGAAAATTAATTAAAACCATACGGAATTAATGAAATAAATAATCTAATCAATAGAAATCAAAACTGAAACTGGTAAGATATAAAATAAATATATACAGAGTTGTGGGTTTTAACATTTTACGCACTATAAGAAGTCTTATTGTACTACTTATTTTTAAGAGAACATGCCGTCTGGTAAAGTTGGAATTATTCTAGAAAATATTTTCTAAAAAAAGAAGTGATATGTTAATACCTTGTATAGTGCGTAAAAAAATAAAACGCACCACTTCGTATATTTTTATTTTATTTCTTCTCAACTTCAAGTTAGTTTCCATTGATTGCCCTATTTATTTTACTAATTTTGTATCGTTTTAGTTATCTTTCTCATTCGGTTATTTTTTTATATCTATTATTTTTATTTTTTAAAGTAAGACTAATCTTTAAAAAAGAAAAGGAAATGATGGAGGCAGAAAGTAATTTTAAAATTTTAACTGAAAATTTCAAAAAAAAACGAAAAATTCAACAAAAATAATCTCAATTTTCATTTTTTTGCGCAAAACAAATAGTTTTCGTTAACCCACCGTTAACAACTTAACGGTGACCCAGAACTCGTAAATTTTAGTAAAGTTGAGTTTTTTATACATCAAAGTGAAAGTTGTGCTTATTTTTGGAAGACCAGATAAAGTTGCGATTATTTTGAATAATTTTTCCAAAAAATAATATCAAAATGACACTTTTTTAGGGCAAACATCTTCTCGTCTTTGAAAAGTTTTATATGACGGAGGAAGTATTAACTGCTTATCCGTTATGTACTCCCTCTGATCCTAAAAATCTTTCTTGTTTTGACTTTTGTTGGTCAAACAATGAAACTCTTTGACCATAAATTAAATATAATCCAAATAAATAAATTATATAAAAAATTAATATATCAAAACTATATAGTAAGATGAACTCAATTATATTAAATTTGTATTATAATTAAATATATATTCTTTAGCAAAAAAAGTCAAAACAGGAAAAGTTTTTAAACCAAAAAAGAGTATATGACGATACTCCCTCCGTCCTAAAACTTTCTTCCCACTTCCCTTTTTTCTCCGTCCTAAAACCAACTTCCCATTAGAAAAAAAGATCACAAATGACATTAATACTCTCATGTATTTACACCAATTATCTTTTAACTCTATATTTTGAATGATTGCAAAAAAAATCAAAAAATCTTTTTTAAGGAGGGTAAAATTTGAAGTCAAAGCCAAAAATTAAAAATGGGAAAAAGTCAAACTGGAAAGAAAGAATTAGGACGGAGGGAGTAAGGTTAATACATAGTAAAGTTTGCTTTGACAATACATAGGGTCAAATGACATAATATAAGAGGTTTATCGAGATGTTAGGCGAGGTATGTACCACCAATTTTGCGAAGTTGACATTGTAAGTAGATCACTTAGAGGCAATGTCATATTATCGTATGAATTCTCAAATGTAAAAAAAAAAACAAAAAAGAAAGAGAGAGCTCTAGGTGTAGTGTTTTAGATGTAGCATATGTGCAAATTTGAAAATTCCGGACACAGCTAGCTAGCATATGTCTATATTAATTTCACACTTTGTCTTACTTATTGTTCATTGGTTAAATGACATCTTTTTCTTCGGTTAATTGTTAATACCCCGTGTATTAAATAGTTATGTGAGTAAAAGGTGACTAATAGTTTTTCACCTATACTGAAAAACTCCAGTATTTAAATGTAAAAAGTTTTATTTTCTTTTTTTTTTAAAGATAAAAATTAAATATCAAAACATGTTCAATTGTTTGTGAATTTACAAATAAAAATCATGAAAAACAGGACTATGAAATATTTTATTTCCACCAAATAATTAGGATTAAGGCTTTTCTCCAAACGAATATTTCATTCGCCCCTAAATTTAGTCCATAGTTATTAGTGAGTATGTATATGTTATAGCCGGCTATACCGGGAGTAAGATATAACCCTGTAGTACTCATTTTAAAATAAAGTAGTATTCATTCTCACACAAAACATAAATATTCATTTTGAAGTAACTTAATACTCATTCTGAAATAATCTAGTACTCATTTGAAATAACATAGTACTTATTCTGAAATAATGTAGTGTTCATTTTTCACACATTTGTTCAATACAATTAAGATATTCATTTGCGAATAACAAAATGTTAATTCTGAAATAAAGTAGTACACATTCTCAAATAACTTAGTACTCATTCTCAAACAATATACCGTTCATAAGTTGAAATCTGTAACCCTTCGTCTCTGAAATCTATTTGGTCTTCCGCCTTCTTTCTTCGACCCGATCGGATTAGACAAATGAAGTGTACGTTAATTCTTGTTATTTAATTGATTTTTATGGTAAACACACAAAAATTGATTCTTAAAGCATCATAAAAAAAATTTAGGA